ATGTAGGACAGGCGGAAAATCGCGCCATTTGACAACCCTTCGCCGCCTACAGTGAGGAGCGAAGATGTCAGCCATACGCCTTTCCGCCGAGAGAGCGTCCACGGGATCTTGGTCTGATCGATCAAATCCACGATCGCAGCTTTACGTGGGGCGCACCTTACGCTCCACCTGCGTGCTACCTCTACGATGGCTACATCATGTTGCGTCCGACGAGTTTCAAACAATACATACTTTTCTACCCTAAAGTCCTCTCCTGAGAAAATGCGGCTATAATTGAGTCACGAAATTGGGATAGAACTACAATAGTTGCTGCAAAAAGAAATCAACAAAGCGAAATTTTCCAGCCTCACTAGGCCTCGATGCAGAAATCGTCGAAGTCCAAAAAGTTGCACGCGAATTTGCACGTCGAGAAATGTATCCGAATATGGCGAAGTGGGATAAAGAGGTTTTTGGCACGTTTTTCTAGTTCTGCAAAGAAGCCGCAACTGTCACAATCATTCATCTAGGAGCACTTTCCTGTAGAGATGATGAAATATGCGGGAGAGCTAGGATTCGGTGCAATTTACTGTCAAGAAGACTTCGGTGGATGTGGTATGAGCCGTCTTCACGCCTCAGTAATCTTCGAGCAGTTAGCAGCTGGTTGTGTTTCAACTGCTGCTTACATGAGCATTCATAACATGTGAGTTACCTCCGCTTGTATTCTTGATTCGTATGTAGAAAACGTGCCTATCATCATTGCACATTGCAATACAACTTATGTATTGTTCACCATTTATATTGACAAGTTTAGTAAAGTACTCTTCTTCATCTGTTTACCCGAACAATCCTTTCTAATGTTTCATTTTTTATAGTACTATGCGTAACGGGAAATTTCTCAGCACTAACTGTTTTCTACAAATTGACTTTGCACGTGTTTTACTGCTGGCTATGAAAATAATATTCATTCCCCATATAGGGTCTTACTGTAGGATTACGGCAGGTATGTAATGCAGTGGTCAGCATGGATTTGTCTGTAATGTGTATAGTGGGTTTAACTCGTATGCTAATTACAAAAGTGATATCCACATCGTACTATAAGGGTACTAGAGGTTGAGGAGATAATGTGCACATGCAAGAAGGAAGATGAAATCATGTTTTCAAAAGTTCTAGAAAACAAGCGATATGTTCCAGCAGAACTCTTATAAAGTGTCTAGCGTTGGATTATCATCCTCGGCTTCGTTCTGAATGTACTAAAGTCTTTTTCATCGTAGGGCTGAGTACGCGAGCTCCTTTAGTTGTAGACACGCCATTTATCTGAGAAAAAGAGTATGATTGCTGCGTCGATTCCTATAGAATTCAATATAAGCGTGACCAATTTTCCCCTGTTCTGGCTTTGAAGTATGCTCAGAGTTTGTACAAAGCCATATCGTATCCCAACATTAACTTAGGTAATAGCCTAATAGCTGCGTAATAGTAGTATCCCGTATTTTTCACTTTGAGCGAAGTTTTTCTGGTCAGATTCTTTCAAATCAAATTAAGTTCTTCTAAATATTTCTCAAATTGGTGCTTTAAAAGGGATCCCCAC